TTGTGCATGTCCCACGGCCACTGTGTTCCTGCAGTCAGGTCTCCGTCTTACGACCTGACTGCGTAGTTCACTGAAGTCTGCTGCATCTGTCAGCATGTTGACCAGGCTGGTTTCAAACTCCTGACCTCAAGTGATCCACCCTCCTGGGCCTCCCAAAGTGCCGGCATTATAGGCGTGAGCCACCTCGCCCAGCCTCACGTCATTGTTGAAAGAGACCCTGTCTCACGTGTCTCCGTACACGAGCACGTGGTTCCCTGAAGGCCTCTGTCTTAACGCTCTCTGTACACGTGGAGGCTGTTTTCTTCCTGTGGCTGGGCCCCCATCTTGTAACTGGAGCACGTGGTCACTGGCGTTGAGGCCACCTGCCCCTCCGTGTGATGGCTCTCACTGTCTCCTCCTGCGTCTCTGTTCCTTTCCTGTCGATGGCAGTACGACCTTTCTAGTAGCTCACTGTTTACCCTACAAATGTCAGCCGCAGGCCGGACACTGTACCTCACACCTGTGATCCCAGCACTGTGGGAGGCTGAGGCAGGAGAGCCGCTGGTGGCCAGGAGTTCAAGGCCAGCCTGGGCAACATAGTGAGACCCCGTCTCTTAGGAAAAAAGAAAAAAAGAAAGCAGTGCCAACTCATACATTTTTCAAAGCCCGACACTGATCGGTATCTTTTCACAAACCGTCACACACGCGTTCAAGTCATCGTGGCACTGATAACGCTGCTGTCACATTGAGACTTTTGAGGATTAACGTAGTTGCGATCATTGATCTCTGTGTTCAGCCTGCTTAGCTTCTGCCGCTCGTCACTGTGACCTGGTCTGCTCTCCGCCTCTTCTTCCAATTCCGACCTTCCGTTTGCGAGGCCTTGCCTTGTCTCCTGAGCTGTTGCTTCCCTGTCTGTCGCGGGCATGTGTCTTCTCTGTAAATTTTCCTGTAAAAATGTCCAAGTGTTCATCTCATTTTTTTTTTTTTTTTAAGACGGAGTCTCGCTCTGTCCCCCAGCCTGAAGTGCAGTGGCGCGATCACGGCTCACTGCCACCTCCGCCTCCCGGGTTCCTGCGATTCTCCTGCCTCAGCCTCCCGAAGAGCTGGGACTACAGGCACCCACCACCACACCCGGCCAAGTTCCGCATTTTTACTAGAGACGCGGTTTCGCCATCTTGGCCAGGCTGGTCTCAAACTCCTGACCTCAGGTGATCTGTCCTCCTGGGCCTCCCAAAGTGCTGGGATGACGGGCGTGAGCCACGGCGCCCGGCTGGGCACCCCTGTTTTTAGCTGTTGGCTGTATTTTGTCTGTTTTGGAGGCTGCAGTTTCCTTGCTGGTTGTGAAGGAGTGGGGGCTCTTCTGCTGGGGCTCAGGGGAGCCTCAGGCCCCGGCGACTGTCTCCAGCTCTTAGGGCTGCAGGGTGAAGACTTTGTGAACCGCTTTCTCCCATGCCGTCAAGTCCGCTCCGTGGCCCCTCCAAGTGCGTTTTCTGCTCACCTGTTTTAATTTCTACAATTGACGTGTCGGTGTGTTTTTACTTGTTTTTTTCTCGTAGTTTCAATGTTCTCATTTCTTTCTTTTGTTAGTTTTGTTTTGAGACAGTTTTGCTTTTTGAGACGGAGGCTCCCTCTGTCACCCAGGCTGGAGTGCAGTGATGTGACCTCAGCTCACCTCACTGTCCATCCCCCCGGGTTCAAGTGATTCTTCTGTCTCAGCCTCCGAGTAGCTGGGATTACAGACACCTGCCACCGCGTCCGGCTGATTTTTGTATTTTTACTAAAGACAGCGTTTGTTCTCAACCTCCTGACCTCTCGATCTGCCCGCCTCAGCCTCCCAGAGTGCTGGGATTACAGGCAGGGGACCCCACGCCCGGCCGAGTTGCGCTCTTGTTGCCCAGGCTGGAGTGCAGTGGCACAGTCTTGGGTCACCACAATCTCTGCCTCTTGGGTTCCATCGATTCTCCTGCCTCAGCCTCTGGAGTAGCTGGGATTACAGGCACGTGCCACCACACCGACGTAATTTTTTGTCTTTTTTTTTTTTTTTTTTTTTTAGTAGAGATGAGGTTTTGCTTTGTTGCCCACGCTGGTTTCAAACCCCCGAGGTCAGGCAGTCTGCCCGCCTCAGCCTCCAGCGTGCCCGGCTGTGTGAGGCCTTTCTCGCCATCGTGGTGACGTGAGTTAGACTGGCAGCCCTGCAGGAGAGCCGGCGGCCGCCGTGAGTTCTCTTAAGTTCTCGGGAGAATGCCACTCTGCCCGTCTGCTACCTGCAGCTCCAGGCAAGGGCCACAGTCTTCCCTTCATTCCCGGGGCCTGAGGTGTGGGGGAGCTTTATTGCCAGTTTGTTTTTCTCAGGGAAGGTGGAGCGTTCTGGGAGGTTTACTGGATGCAGCTTCCTCCGAGGACCCTGGGTTTTACCTCCTATTCCCCAGAGCTCTGCAAGACTGTGACATATTTCGGGGAGCCCGCTCGGTCCACACATCTGAAGGCAGAGCCTGTACAGGGTCCATGGGCTTCCCGGGATCCCACCTCCCGGGCCTCCCTGCCCCCTCCTCCTGGGCCTCCCCGTACCCCTCCTCCCAGGCCTCCCTGACCCTCCTCCCTGGCCTGCCCGACCCTCCTCCCGGGTGTCCGCAGATCCCTCCTCCGGGGTGTCCCTGTGCCCCTCCTCCCGGGCCTCCCCGGATCCCTTCTCCCGGGCCTCCCCGTACCCCTCCTCCCAGGCCTCCCTGCCCCCTCCCCCCGGGCACCTGTGGCCTGAGGTATTGCACTTTCCTGCCCGCCTGCAGATGCGGCTGTCTAGAAGATGCCTGTGAAACATGCTGTCCAGTGCTCTTGTCAGTTTTCAGCAAGAGGGTTGGTCGCTGTGCCCAGGTCATTACATTGGCAAAACCAGGAGCCCGAGAGCGCATTGCGGGATAGCCACAGGGCCAATTCCGTAACCCAAACAGCAGAGCTGTGTGGACGCAGCGTTGTGAAGGGGGAGAGCGGAAGGCTCCGCGGTGGGACCTCCGCAGCCACACACCAGAAGGCTGCTGCCACGGGGACGCATGGTGGATTCAGGGAGACGCAGGGACCCCAGATCACCGAGGTCACGTTCTGAATCACGGGGAAGGGTGTGCCCGTCAGGTAAAGCTCTGCGGAACCGGCATTCAGTCGGCGCCTACTGTGGGAGCCTGCTGTGCGCCAGGTCACGGAGGCGACCCTGCTCCTCCTAGATGGGATCAGAGAAAAACCGGCCGAGTGTTACCTTGGGCAAGGGTCCCGGGGGGACAGCAGGGTGGGGACGGGGTGGGGGTGCTGTCTGTGGGACCCTTGTGACCTGGCCTGAGGGACCGTGGGAGCAGCAGGGTGGGGGTTTCTTTGCTCTGTGAGGACACTGCAGCTGGGACCCAGTCCTGCATTGATCAGGGAGTCAGGATTCTGAGCCCAAAGACGCTGACGTGTGGTCCGTTGGCTCTGGGCCTTCCTCCCCGGACCTCTCCTCCGTGAGAGTTGGTGGAGGAGGACGCAGCCTGGTCCCTGGGTAGTTGGTGGAGGAGGAGGAGGAGGAGGAGGAGGAGGAGGAGGAGGAGGGGGACGCAGCCCCGTCCCTGGGTAGTTGGAGGAGGAGGAGGAGGAGGAGGAGGAGGACGCAGCCCCGTCCCTGGGTAGTTGGAGGAGGAGGAGGAGGAGGAGGAGGAGGAGGAGGAGGAGGAGGAGGACGCAGCCCCATCCCTGGGTAGTTGGAGGAGGAGGAGGAGGACGCAGCCCCGTCCCTGGGTAGTTGGTGGAGGACGGCACCGTGTGGTTGTTGGTGTCGTTGACTGTTTTTCTCGGTGTCTTAGTATCACAGGGTGACAGTAAACATTCAGCTCACAGGTTTTGTGGAGATAGAAGCAGGAGACTCTTGAGCGAGTGGTCTGGCTCCTGTGGATGCTCTGGTCGAGGGAAGGCTGGTGCTGAGCGTCCCCAGGAGCCCGTGGCATGGGCTCTGCACTGCCTGAGGGGCTGAGGCTTGTGTCCACAGCAGTACCTGCTGCTCAACCCCCTCTCCTGCCTGTGTGGGTGCCCACTCTGCATCTGCCTCTCAGGATGGGAGTCAGCCGGGCTCCAGGGGCAGGGCTGCGCCTTGCCGTGTCCCTGCGCTCAGGCGTCTGAGGCGTGGGGCTGCTCTTGTCCCCAGGCCCCTGCCAGGTGTGAGGTCACTGGTGTGGCCCGTGGGAATCGGGGACGCATCCTGGCCGAACTCTCAGGCGTCTGAGGCGTGGGGCTGCCCTTGTCCCCAGGCCCCTGCCAGGTGTGAGGTCAATGATGTGGCCCGTGAGAATCGGGAGCGGGCCCTCGTGGGTGTCTCAGGCAGCGGGGTTGCTCCCCTGCCCTGTCAGGTGTGGTGGGTACTCAGTGTGCAGCAGCGACCCACTGTGGGGTCCCTGTTGCCATCAGGTAGCCCCCCGGACGGAGGTGTCCCTGCAGTGGGTGAGTGTCCCCATGGCCGGGTGGACGTGTCC